TAGAAGTTGAAACCCATGTTGTCTGGAAAGTGCAAAGAAGTAACTTATTCTGAGCAAAATAGTCAGAAGCTGAGGAAAGGGAAGTAAAGATGGATGGAATCATGAAGACTTAAATAAACCAAAAACTGGAACACTGGGATGGCCAGCAATACTAGAGAAACAATTGAAGGCTGGAGTTTCTAATCAGGTTTCTTTGAGCTAATGTATGTGTGATACGCCCTTGTGAGAGACAAAGGGATGTAGAATTTACTCTCTTTGTTTCTGGCTCCTGATTCACTAGGCTACACGTAAAGTCTAAAAAGTCATCTATGATCAGAAAAGTTTGAAGTCTGAGTAGGAAGACTGAAAAGCATGTGGCAGCAACTCTCAAGGCTCAAGCAGCCAGCGGCTGTGACATGTCAGCTGCTGGAAGTGATGAAGTGTGTGCTTGCCTGCAGCTAAACAGATACTGAAACAAATTTTTACCATGTGAGGTCAAAATGCTTTGCTTAAACCTAAATGAGGTGTAGCTGATATTTGATCCTTTTTTAAACTATAAGATTTATGTAGAATAACTTCTGTGAACTGTGGCTTTAGGAGAAGTTTTAAATGTAAAAATCAGTAAAACTTTACTGAACGTGTATCTGACTAATTGTCTCATAAGAATGTGGCAGGCTGAATTTTGTACCAAATCTCAGATGACTTTGTCATTCACCTGATGTAGTGGCTCTTTGATTTCCATTTTTAGTTGCCTGCAGCTTCAAAAAGTTTTATTGCTCTGTTCTAAAAATTGCATTGGTTTATCAGTTGCTGCCTTTTATAGTCTCGGAAGAATGTCAGACTTGCTGTGAGAAATGCAAGCGCTCCAAGGAGGCGATGAAGCAGTCACTTCTCTCCTAAAGACTCGGCTGTGCGATCGGTCTTTTCTCGGGCTTGCTCACACAGAACCACGTGTGGGAACGACAGGCAGATCCGCCACCGTTTGAAGCATGTGCAGAGGCAGGATCTGTTACCGGTGGTTGTAGCTGTGCAGCTCTCAGCAAAGCCAGGATTTAGTGGAGTGTTTAGTAGTGTTGTGGCAGTCGCACACTCTGTTTTACCCCTGTGAACTATTGCTAGTAGTTGATAAATGTTTATGGTTTTTCCTCCTTTTTTCATGAAGTAGAGAGGAAATAGTATTGACATCTCGCACTTACTATTCAAGTCAAACTTCCTGAACTCAGCTCTAATACTAACAGAAAACGGCTTCCTTCGCAGAGTGGATACTGCCTGCGATCTCTTGGCACCACTCTGGTGCTGCTTCCTTTTCATCCACCGCTCTCTTCTGAGTGACGATACCACCATTATACTGATTCAGCATGACATCACTTGCTCAAGGGAACGTTGATAAAAGTTAGCTTTCAGCAAGTTTAAAATGTGACCATTGTGACTTTGATCACTGAGTCTAACAGCTGACACAGTTTTCACTGGCCTTTGCCTGGTCTTTGAAATGCTGAAGAACTGGAAGTTTATGCTCCCCTCTTGTTGAAAGTTCAACAGCAGTGGAAAGGTTCACGAAGGAATGCTCATTCCTTCTGTATGCTGCAGGGGCTGCTGTGTAGATTCAGTTAAATGTTGTTAAAGAATTGCAATGCCTAGTTCATAATCAGCATAACCTTTCTCACACACTCATATTTAATATGTTTATTAACTTTATTTTTTTACATATTAATTTTAATGCATGCTCTATATTATATATGTTAGTAGTCTCTAAGCAGATAGATTTAAGACCCATCTTCTCCACTGAACATTGCAGATGTGCTGCCCCTTTTTTTTCTTTTATTGTTTGATCTCTGTGTGTGATGGGTCACTGCAGCCTGTACGCTGTCAGATTGGTGCAGTTCGTTTTCCATGCGAAAAATTGCTTGTAGACTGCAGAACAACAGACAGTAACTTTCAAAACTCCAGAGTTTCTGTAAAGAAATGAGATCAATCAATGGAATTTTTAAAAAGTTCTATTGAAAATAATAAAATCTTTAGGTACTTTAAAAGCTAAATTAAAAGCAGCCTTGTAAAAGTATAAATGGAATCCTTCAAGTCCCATCTGTTCCTTTTTGCTCGGCTGTCGTAGTGTCTTTCGATTAGATGCCCCAGCCGTTTCAAGCAGCCTGTGTATTTACAGAGGAATGTGGGAGCTATTTGTTCTGAGTCCCTGGCAAAAGCTGCTCTGCTTCATGGTTTGTCGTTAAAATATTCTTGTCCTTTTCAGACGCTAGAAGGGTGTCCTCTGTGCAGAAGCTGATTGCAGTGTTCCTGTTGTCGTGTTGTGTTTTGTGTACTTGGGAAGCCAAGGATGTTGTGTGTGTGTGTGTTTGTGTCTTTTGCTGCAAGTTTGAAAAATGCCATCAGGTTTCCCCAGTCTTGTATCTCGAGTTTCAGCCCAATAGCTGGGCAGTAGAGTACGAGCTGGTGGTGACTGAGCATGTAATCAAATAGGTACAAATATTTTTTTCTTTATTGGCAAGGTAAATTTTGAGAAGAAAAAGAGAATAACGGTGTGGACAGATGCTGACAGACTGTGCCAAAGCTGTGTTTTGTCTGTGATTCCAGAAGAAGAGCTGGTGCTGTGCATCTGTATGTATTTGCAGGTTTGAGCATAGTTCAGAGCCAGATTTGTTCATACTTACGACCCGCTGTGTTAGGCTAGTGTCTTAACCAGGCAAAATATAATTAAGGGAATCCAAACTACTTCACATTGTGCTTTTAAGCCTGTTTTAACGTGATAGGGCTGTGACAGTAAGCTTGTAAAAGGGAATGAGTCAACCTTCTTGAAAGAGCGAGTTATTTCCTTTCTTTTTTCCCCTTAGTTCCCCATGAGATTCCCCAGGGTATTTGACTTTGCTAAGATGGGTCACTGTGGAAGTACTAGCAACCTTAGATACAGAGAGTGAGAACAGAGTGGTGCAGCGAATGTAATCCTTTTAGCCTTCATACATAAAATACAAAGATTGACAGGATTATCAGTCAAGTATTAATGAAATCCACCACACTGTGCATATGTCTAAAAAGTGTAACATGTACGGGACAGTAAAGTTCCTTTCTGAAGTTCTCAGAAAGATCGTGCTGTGACAGAGACAGCTGAATGGACAGTTGCAATCAAAATTAAAGTCCCTGTATCTCAGAGGCAGATAATGGCTTACCTGTACGTGGCAGATTTTTGACCCTCACTTCCCAAAGGAGTAAATGTGGCCAGTCAAGTAGGGGGATAGAGAAGGATGGTGCATCTAGTCACTTGAATTACCTGGGTTTGTTCCACTGAAATGTGGTTCCCAGGATGATGTTGTTGCCTGAGTTATATAGAAATGCAGATGCTGTATTCTTGCTTGCACAGAGTATGACAACATCTTTGCAAAGTTTTCACATTTGAGCATTTGTCATGCAGTTCGAAAAGACTGTTTAATAGTCGTATCTGTTTACTTAGTGTTGCATTATTTCTGCTTCATACCATGAACAGAGAAATTACTCTGTGTGTGAAGAATCCATCCCAGATGAAAGAAATGAGAGACCTCAGCAAGGCAAGAGGTTGAATTTGAGACAGATATTTTAATTTCCTTTCTGGTTTTGTGCTGTAACTCAACATGTTCAGACCATTAGCTGAGCACACTGCTCCACCAAATCTCAGTTTTGTAGACTAATACAGGATTACACAAGAGCTACACTGAAGTAGACTATTTCAGGCAGCTTCTTCAGATGACTTACCTTGTAAGAATTTATCAAACTGTAGCCCCCGCGCACTGCAGGTGGGGTGTGACGTAGTGGGACTGAGGCAGCACAAGTGAGGTGGCTGAAGTACTAGCCCAGCCATCGCAGCGCAAAGCTAATTAAGTTACTGCAATGCCCAGACTGACTTCAATATCTCACTTAAAGTTGGCCTAAGAAGGTTCAGAAGAGGTTCAAAGGAGAGCCTCTATTTTTTTAAAGTCAGTTGAGGACATTGAGTTTGTAGGAAAAAGAATAAAGTTACTCCTGCAGGACAAACGTGCAGTTACCCCACTGTAGGTAAGACAGCACATGGGATCATAAGCTCATAGGCTTTAAAAAGAACATCTGTAGTTAATTTCTTCCTTCCACTTCTTAAATTTACGTATAGAGATTATTTGAATGTAGAGCATGTGTGGCTTTCTTTAATTATCTCTGATTAAAAAGAGCATAAAATGTATATTCAGCATAGAAATGGTTGAACTGTTGTTCAGCAGTTTGGTTTAGGGGCTACACATTTGGATGTGATTTCAGTGATTTTAGATTGTTTTTCTTCTGGCTCAGATTTAGTTCTCATGTTGCTGAAGGCTTGTGGGGGCTGGTGATTATTTTTTTCTTTCTTTAAATGTTTCATCAGTAAAACATTCCGTAATCCTGTTTTTAAAACATGTTAACCTGTGGTCAGGATTTTGAATAACTTCAGGCCCTTCCCTGGGAAGGACGTCTGCTTAACATTCCTCCTTTGCAGTACTGTATCTTCACTCTCCCGTGCAGATGCCAACAGCCCTTCTTCCCCACTCCTTGTGCCTGTTGCTTTGAAAGAGTTAAATTCGAACAGTGGAGGAATTGTCCTAAAGGTCCTGTGATTTGGCTAAAAGGTAACATCTGACTAGCTTAAGGCTTTTCTCACGGTCAAGCTGAAAGAAGTTTTTCTTTAATACTCTTTTAAAAAGTTACGGAGTTAAAGAGCTCATTTTATAGTTCATGTGTTTGCCACATGTTTGTATGTATACGTATGTATTTCAGCAGCACCAAAAATTCTCTCGCGCAGTATCTAGAAAACAGAGGGGGTTTGTTTTGGAGGCTTTCTCTGGATGTCACTGTCTGTGGGTGAGGCATTTGCAGCTTCCTGTTGAAAACCTGGGATTTCTGAGGCATGTCAGGGGACGGTATAATTTGCTGCATCTTTTAGGACACCAAAAGGCACTGGTCCAGGTCTGAAGCTGCGTGAAGACCAAAGAGGAATCTTGCAATCTGGACCAGAAATAGTGTCAAGAAGGAAGGTGGTAGGTTGAAAGATCCATTAAAACAAAATGAATTTTTCATCCACGCTTCCAACTGTCATGTTAATCCACCTTTGGAAGAGAACAGGGTGGCAAACAATAGCAAAATGAAGCCTTCTAAGTTAATGCTACCGATCAGAAACTGTGCTTGATTATTATAGAGCATCAGGAAAAAGTAATTTATAATAGGCATCCACCGTTTATCTTCAGTTTTACAGCACGTCACAAGGATTCACCTGGTGATCTACGGTAGTCCCATCCCATCGGTGTGGGGTCAGCACAAAGACTCAACTCAGCTGGCAGAGAATCTTTTGTGAAAAGTGCTGTGGGAACTAAGGTCTGGGGAAGAAGGCAGAGGTGGAATTTTTCTGAGTGAATAAATACGTTTACTACATGTAGCAAAGAAAATTACATTTATTAGTTTAAAAAGCAATTAGGAAGAGAGGGAAGTGGAGGGGAATTGGCTTCAAACCTGGGAAAGTTCAAAAAAACCCCATGAAAACAACCCAAAACTTCAACCCAAAACCCAACTGGTCAAAAAAAAAACCCCAAAAAACATTACTTTTGGACTTCAGGATGAAACTATCCAACTTCATCTGAAATGATCTCAAGGTCAAAAATCACAAATCTCAAGGTCAAAAATATATGCAAATTTTACTCTTGGCTGTATGGCGGGATTGCCCTTCTGCTGCAAACACGCACAAGCTTTGCATTCTCCAACATTCTCTTGACGGCTGTGATATTTATATATTTATATATGTATTTAATTTATATATATTTATATCTTGTGCTTTCTTACCTTTCTTTTTTCCCTCCATCTGCAGTACTCTGCATGCAAGTTAATTTTTCCTGTGCATTTGTGTACATATGTATATTCCACGTTTCTGTCTCTAATGCACTTTGTAAATGGGTATTGTTTTTCTGTCTCGTATTGGCCTCTCTCCAACCACACTGTGACATCCATGTGCTGAAGAGTGTGTTTTGCCATCCCCAGTAGCAGCAGTTTGGGATGAGGTTTTTCAGAAAACCACTTTACTGTATGGGCAGTGAAGAAATGGCAGCTATCCTTGTAGCAAGCTTCTGCCCTAGAGACAGCATGGGCGACAACTACCAGTTTCCTCAGTGGTTCTGATTAAGTGTTGCTGACGAAAATTTTATGCGGTCACTTTTAAGAAGCTTTTAGCAAAAAATCTTTTTTAAAAAAGTAGCTGTTGTACCACATCATTCTTAATTTATAAGAATGACAAAATAGTAGAATACTTTCTCTTAAACAAGCAGCATATCCCGTGGACTACAGATTGATCTAGCTAAGTATAGGGACAGAACATGAAAATTAGTAGTAAATTATTACAATTTGTTCCTCTGCAGGTGAGTGGAGACCCCGTCACGCATTATATGACAAAATTTACTTGTCATAGCATGTGTTACCTAAATGTCCAAGCAAATGAAGATGTACGCAAAAGGCAAGGCGGTATTACCGTTCTAAAAAGGGACCTGAGGTGTTCTTTGGTAACCAGACCTGATACAGAAGAATTATATTTTGTCCAAAGGCGTCTTTAGCCTTCTGACTGAAGTGTTCAAAAAGTGGATAGCAATATGGCAAGTAACTGCTAAGTCACTCCCAGGAAGGAAATAATTTGAGGAAATCCTTTTGGAAGGAAGTATTAGAGGAAATCCTGGAACTTTTCAAATACCATTTCTGTTTTATGAAATTTTCTTCTCTTTACATGGCGGTCTTCTGTTAAGTGAATGGTTTTTTTCTGTAATGCAAGGGTAGTTTGGTTTTAATCATGCTGAAACATATGATTTTCATTCTTGGAAAACCTGAGAAATGAACTTCAATTGAATATATGTTTTAGCAAACAAGAGATACTTGGATGAGGTGCCTCATGACTTGGTGTGTTCATAAGACTTTAAACATGGAATCTGCTCTCAAATTGTGCTGCAAAAATGTGGTCATTCTCGTTCAAGTTTTTGCTACACGTCTGTAGTGAGCCCATAAGGCTTGGATGCAGTAAGCTTCCAAGGGTCTTGGTACGCACTGACATGCTTTCCTCCTTTGGCTCCGGTGTTTTTCCTCTGCTGCTGCTTCACAGTAGTAGGAGTCTAAATCCCAGCTGGTTTGGAAACATCTTGAATGTTGGGTTTTCTGTCCTGCTAGTCAGTTACTTGTCCTCAAACAGGTTCCTCACATTCCTCCACAGCTATGTTGTCTAATGGCCGTAGTTCAGCTCTTCCAAAAATGATAGAAGCAATAAAAACCCCAGTAGTTTGAGGGAGTCCTAAAGTAACATCAGTGTTTATTTAATGGCATGAAAAATACCCCGAGGGATGAAAGGTGTCCAGGATCTCTCTTGTCATGGTCTTGTAAACCATCAAGTTGTCCAACTTGGTACATTTTATCCTGACTAGGTTTTTGCTACTTACCTTGCATGTTCCTTATTCTTTCCTTTTCCCAGCTTTATGAAGATTTGAAGGTTATGCTAGTCTCTTCTTTGTTTCTGTGGAATTAGTGCATGACTTCTTCCCAAGAGATGACGAATTCTTTTTTTTTTTTTTTTTCATGTTTAAGGAAGGGTGACTCCATCCCTGAGGATAAAAGTTGTAGCTCTTTCTAACTCCAGCCAATATCCTTAACATTTTACTTTTTCATTCAGATCAGTGGAGAAATTTCAGCCTTTTCCATTATTCCTAGCTTGGTGAATATATACTCACAGAAATAAACTTGTTCTATGGGTACAGCAGTTCTCATAGTGATAGTTCTGTATGATTTCTTATTCCTCATTGATATGTATAACACTTCCCCAAATCATTACGTATGTTCTGTTGACTTCCACTTAATCTGCATGTGTACATGTGGTCTGTAGTAAAAAATGTCGTCAAAGAGCTTAAAAGCACTTTCTAAGCAGCCTTTTCACTTGTCATTATCTTTTTTCAAATCTGTGATGCAAGAACAATTACACATCACTCCAGTAGGATTCCTGCTGGTGAGAAGACTTACTAACACAAATCAAAGGAATCCTGATAGAATTTTATATATAAAATTCAAATCGCTGAGGTGACTTCCGCACATCTTTTGTTGGCCCTTAGTGATGTCAGGTGCATTAACAGTTTAATCGCCAAACCACTTGTGTAAACATCTGTTTGTGGGCTCTTCTGTTTGATGGTGAGCTGCTTTCTCCTTGGAAGTAGCAGCAGACTTCGTACAGCTTAAAATAGAAAGTATGGGAGGGATACTCTGGTCATCTAGGGATAGAATGGATTATAATTGGTGTAGATTAGTAGTTATGATTTGGATTTGAGAGGAATTTTCTCCAGAATGTACAGATAAGAAGTTCAGTAGCTGTACTTAGAGATTTTTGTTTGGTTTGGGTGGTGGTGGTTGTGGTGATTGCCTTTCTCTTCACTCGTAAATGTAGGATGACAGTGTGTAGCTGCAGAAGAGCAGAGCCCAGGTAGGGGCTGAATTCCAGGCCCCCCCCCCCCCAGTTTCCTTCTGTTACCTGTACAATAGAGGTGTAACCGGGTATTTGGGTTTTCATTTCAGAACACAAAAGATCTTTATTTTGTTCCAGATTGGAATGAATCCCCATGAAATTCAAGCTGATCAAATTCTGCTGAAGCTCCTTCAGCAGCCTAGTGTAGTTTTAGGCCCTATTTATACAGCTCTGTCCAGGCCTATCTCATGTGTCTTTACCAAAGGGAAAAGATGGAGCTGTGCAGAGCATTGACTTAGCTATAGATACATTCTGACTCCTGTGGCTTGTGAAATTCTGTGGTATTTGGACATGCTTATTTCAAGTTTCATCCCTTAATTGTTTAAGATGGCAATCTGATAATATGGGATTTTACATCTTAAGTCCTTGTATGTATAATTGCCTGCTATCAGGTAACCGTGCATATTCTCTTCTGTCGGTGAAAGAGCTTGCCTGCGCCTCGCTGTCCCATCGGCTGAGTTGCTCCTGAGTCACGCCGTTCCTCTCCATTGTTTGTTTGTACTGAAGGTTTTCAGAGCTCCAGTTCAGCTGGACGTAAACTCGGTCATTACAACACACCCTGCGTGCCAAGAGCCGTCCGAGCGGAAGGGCAGAGGGCTCTGAAGCCCAGCGGTGGGATGTGCTTGCTCCACATGCTGTTTGTTGCTGTCCTGGAGCAAGCTTTGCCTGACAGAGATCAGTGCTTCAGGGCTGTTCGCAGCAGCTCTCCCTGTAGTCTGAAAGTGAGGTGGTAGAACATGGCATTCCGCGTGCTTTTCTTCACCCAAGCTCTGTTTTGTTGGGGGGAAAGGAACTTTTGTACCTGACAATACTTTTGATTTAGTTGTATCCTATTCTTTTCAAATGAGAATTGCTTCCTGTCAAAGCTGCAACTGCAGGGTTTTCCCAAGAGGACTGAGATTTCAATAGAAGGGATTGTTAATGTAGTGGCTATTTTAACAAAAATATAGCCTGCCTGCTAATTTTATCTCTGTGCCATGGTTATTTTCCCTGGCTTTTTCCTCAGTAACAAATGAAGATTGGTGTTTGTGAATCGATTGAACAAAGGATTTGGGGGCTTTCCTTATTTTCTTTTTCCTAATTTACGATTTACTACCTCTCCCCACACACTCATCTGAAAATATTAAAGGCTGTACCATACTTTCTGTATGGGCTACTCTACTTCATTCTTTAAAGTGATGGTTATAGAGGAACATATTTTTAGGTAAATGCCTTTGGTATGTGGTATTTCATGCTTGTAACTGAGTGTAGAAAGTATGGTACATGTATTTTAAAGACGTAGTTGTCCTATAAATAATCATATGCAAATTGCAGTTTGTAGCTGCATAAATGTAGGTTGTATTGCTCGAATATTTTAAGTACATTAATTTAAAAAAAAAAAAAAAAAAAGGATTGTTATACCAAGACAGTGTTGTCATACTGTTAAAGCAATTTTAAAAGTACTGCAATGCAGAAACTTCTAGTTTGTGGCATTACTCGTATCTTGCATAACTAATTCTGTGTGAAAGAC